TCTATATCATTATCCATCATATCTGAAAGTTTCAAAGCGATAGCTTAAAACCTGTCCCGACTGGAGGTCGGAGAATTTTGATTTTTGCGTCTAAAATAGAGTGAGAGAAAATCAGCTCTAAAGATTTAGCGCGAGGTCCACGCTTGGCTGGTTAGCTCAGAAAAGGCTTATTTTAGAAGGGTTAAAAAGCACTTTCTGATTTTCCTTTTCTGCCAAAATAAAATTTAGGACCCACTCATGCCAAAAATAAAAAAAAAACAAAATCGAGAAATGTACTAAAATTTTTATTTACCGAGACCTTAAGCCGGCTTTCCGGTGTTTGCTTCTTTTCAAAGATGAACTCAAGGCAAGAAAATCGCTCAAAGCTTTCTTTTACAGCCAAAATTATAACTAATTATTGTTTGGAACGTTTTCTTTCTAATTTGCGTTGAGAAAATGTCTAAAGGCTTTTTAAAGTTCTGTAAGCTTATATCAAAACTGATACACGGTCAGATCACTGTCTCAAATCTTACAAAGTGCATAAACTAAATAGCCGCAATTAAACTACGCTCGACTTCATTAAATTAGATATAAAAAACAAATATCAAATACAATAATTACTCAGGCTAATTACCATTCGAGATGCAGCCCTGAAAGGTATCAAGTAAGGCCAGTATCGCTTCAGACTTTGGAACCCTCTTTCGCATCAAGCAAGGTGAAAAACGAAAACGTAAACTAATCGTGAAATGTTGGAGACGAATGTAAGCTAGAAGAATTATTTACAAACTCTTCATACTTAAGGTAATTCAAGGCATGCAAATGCAAATTATGTCATTGAAATTAAGGATTTAAGTTGAAGAATTGCCCCATGTAAGAGAATCCAAGACAGGGTTGGATTCTGGATTCCAGGTACTTGATTCCAGTCTTTGTCAGTGGAATCTGGATTCTGAATTCCAATCCTTAGTGGGATTCCGGATTCCTTGAGCTGTATTCTGGATTCCAAAGCCCAGGATTCCGGATTCCACAAGCAAAAATTTCATGGATTCCGGAATGGGGAATCCCTTACACGGGGCGATGAAGAATCTTCTTTTGGTGTCGCAAAAGAATCTAAACCCTGGTCAAATTTGGTTGAAAAATTACTCTGGGAAATAACTTTTCCTACCTTTGCAAGTTTTCCCGTCACCAGAAAATCCATTGTTGCAAGTACAGATGTAAGATCCATCATTGTTGGTGCAAGTTGCATTGACGTCACAGAGAGGGGCAGAAGAAGTACATTCGTCGATATCTGAATGATAAAATTAAGGGTTAGATGTCGAGTACCCTGCGAGCAAGCTCTCCCATTGCTAACAGGCTGCGTTAGCTTGTTAACTGGTCGAGATGGCAAACTATAAAACTCGGATTCTAGTCTAGATGTGTACGTGAAAACTTGATTTATACCAGCCTCGTACCCAGGCCAGTTTGCGCTATCCGAGTGACCAGAGGAGGTTTGGAACCAAGCGCGATAGCGCGGGGACGTCCTCGGCGAATTTTCCCGACAAGCTTGACAGGTGACGTCACATCCGAAATCGCAGAGGACGGCTGGGAACGAGGCTAGATTTATGCCATTTATTGTTGCTTCAATTGTTTTTCTGCATTTCTCGTTAAATGATAAAAGAAATGAAAATACCTATTAAATGTTAACAAACAAAGTAGTATAGTACATGGCGGCACCGGCGCATATTATATATTCTGGACTTAGCCTTGGAAATCCGGTTTGAACCGGTTTTGGGTGGTTTGTCGAGACTTAAAGAAATAGCGCCGCATTTTAGTATGCAGATGGTGCGTTCAAATAAAAATAATATAATATATAGTTATAATATGAAGACTAATCGTAATGAATTTATAAGAAGATTGTTATCTGGGCTTACAGATAGTGAGCTCGAGAATTTAGTACGAGTGAGGGAAGAAGCACACCCTATTTCTGTTAGAAGGACTCCAATTCCAAAGCCAAGAAGGAATGTACAACAATTAATCCGATATTTTGAGAATAATCCCATCCCACCATATAGACCGATTCCAGCTCCCAGAATAAAGAAACAGCAGCCAATAGCAGTACCACGGACAAAAATTGGTGAAAAACGGAAGGCTCTTAAGGGCTTCACTAAATCATATGAGATCGGTTTGAAGACTGATAGAGATGCTTTGGTGCAGCTTCAAAATACGAAACTAGCGATTAGTAGATTATTTAACACTATACTTAATGATACAAAAGGTTTCAAATTTGCGGAGACGTTAAAAGTAACATTTGTGAAGAGAAAGGATGATGATAATATTTATAAGCCAGCTTATTTTAATAGTAGAGCGCATAGTAATTAATCCTAATGATTTTTTATCAAGTTTGCAATTATCACAGCAACAAATATTAAACGGTATTGGTGTTTGGTTGTCTGAGGGCAGTGGTTGGACTGTTAGTAGTATTAATGAACATTATATAAATACAGTAGTGTATGAGCCGATGAGAAGTAATTCCTATATTCCTCTACCGGTAAAATTACAGAATTCTGCTAAGGGGCTGATTAATCTTCAAAATAAGGATAATGAATGCTTTCGCTGGTGTCATATACGATATTTGAATCCGCAAGAAAAGGATCCCCAGCGGATCAAAAAGATTGACAGAAAAATGGTCCAGGAATTAAATTACCAAGGAGTGGAATTCCCTGTCGCTGCTAAACATTATGGTAAAATAGAAGAGCAAAATAGCATTAATATTAATGTGTTTGGTTATGAGAATGAGCAATTTTATCCAATTCATGTCTCAAAGCATAAAAACGAGAAAGTATTGAACCTGCTGTTGATTACACAGGGCGAGAAGCAACATTAGGGCCATTTATACGAGGAAAAATAAGACGCGTCTTACATAAGACGCGTCTTAAATAAGACGCGAACTTTCCGTATAAATGGCACATTTCGTCTAAAATAAGACGCGTCTTATTTGATAAGACATGCTCGTATAAATGGTATAGTTCGCGTCTTATTTAAGACGCGTCTTATGTAAGACGCGTCTTATTTTTCCTCGTATAAATGGCCCTAATATGTCTTTATTAAGGATTAATAAGATGATGTACAATAAGACTAAACACCAACACCGTAAACATTTTTGTATGTTTTGTCTCCAGTGTTTTAGCACTAATGAGATACTAGCAAAACATAAGAGCAATTGCATGATAATAAATGGGGAACAGGCAAGAAGGATGCCCGAGGAGGGCAGTACGGTCCAATTTCAGAACTATCATAAGCAGATGCCAGCACCTTTTGTAATTTATGCAGATTTCGAGGCAATTACAGAGAAAGTATCTGGATGTTAACCAGATGGTGTTAAATCTTATACTGATAAGTATCAAAAGCACACTGGCTGTAGTTATGGTTATAAAGTAGTCTGTTGTTATGATGACAAATATTCAAAACCAGTGAAAATTTATCGAGGGGAAAAATCTATCAGCTACTTCATATTGGATATGCTCTCGGAAAAAGAATATTGCCAAAAAATGATTGCTACTGAGTTCCAAAAACCACTCCAGATGACGGACGAGGAGGAAGAATTATTCAAGGTTGCCGAGGAATGTCATATTTGTGGGAAGAAATATTTAAATAATGAAGTAAGAGTCAGAGATCATTGTCACCTCACTGGACAGTATAGGGGATCAGCACATCAGGACTGTAATTTGAAGCTAAAGCTTGACCCAAGTTAATTTAAGGTGCCAGTCATTTTTCATAATCTGCGTGGGTATGATTCCCATTTTATAATGCAAGAAATTGGATCAATCGGAAAAAGTAATAATTTGAGCATTAATTGTATCCCGAATAATAGGGAAAAGTATATGGCTTTCATGGTGGGTAAACACTTAGTCTTTCTGGATAGTTTTCAGTTTATCGCCAGCAGTTTGGAGAGATTAGACGCTAATTTACCCACCGATGCGTTTAAGTATACCAGTCAGGTGTTCCAAAATGACAAATTAGCACTGATGAAACAGAAAGGAGTGTATCCTTATGATTACATGGACAGTTTTCAGAAGTTTGGTGACCAGCAGCTACCCCAAAAAGAGCAATTTTATAGTATTCTTACTGATGAGGGTATTTCTGATGCGCAATATCAATATGCCCAAAAAGTCTGGAATACTTTTAATATGAGGATAATGGGCGAGTATCATGATCTGTATCTGAAATCTGATATTCTTCTATTAGAGGATGTTTTTGAGAACTTTCGTAAGACCTGCCATCAGTATTACAAACTAGATCCGTGTCACTATTTTACATTTCCTGGGCTATCCTAGGACGCTATGTTGAAAATGACCGGTATAAAATTAGAGCTTATGACGGATATTGATATGTTTCAGTTTATAGAAAAGGGATTACGCGGCAGTATTTCTTATATTGCTAACCGACACGGGGAAGCTAATAATAAATATATGAGCGGGTATAATCCAGAGAAACCAAGTAAGTATATTATGTATCTAGATGCGAATAACCTTATGGATGGGCGATGTCTCAATATTTACCAACAGGTGGTTTTAGGTGGATGACTGAAAAACAAATACAAAAAGTTAATACGGCTGCTTGTGCAGAAGCCAAAAAAAAGGGTATGATTTTAGAAGTCGATTTAGAATATCCTAAAGAATTACATGAGCTGCATAATGATTATCCTCTAGCCGCTGAGAAAATAAAAGTTACCAAAGAAATGCTTACTCCTTATTGCAAAAATATTCAGGAGCAGTTTGGAATAAGTATTGGCCAGGTTGCTAAGCTAATTCCAACACTATCTAGTAAAAAGAATTATGTGTTACACTACAGAAATCTACAACTCTATTTGTCTCTCGGTCTCAAACTGAAGAAAGTACACAGGGTATTAGAATTTGACCAGTCTCCCTGGCTCGCACAGTACATTAATTTTAACACCCAAAAGAGGATGAATGCTAAGAATGCATTTGAGAACGACTTTTTCAAATTATTAAATAATTCCGTATTTGGAAAAACCATGGAAAACATAAGAAAGCGCGTTGACGTGAGATTAGTGACTGATCAAAAGAAATTATCCAAACCTGCAAGCAAACCGACGTTTGTTAACAGTAAGATCTTTAGTGAGGACCTTGTGGCGGTTCATAAGATCAAAGAAACATTGACACTCGACCGGCCAGCTTATGTGGGTATGTGCATTTTGGATCTGTCAAAAACTCTCATGTATGATTTCCATTATAATTATGTCAAAAGTAGGTACAATCACAAAGCAAAGTTATTGTTTACTGATACAGACAGTCTTTGTTATGAGATTGAGACAAGGCATTATGGGAGGATAAACAATTATTTGATAACAGTGATTACCCGAAGGATAGTCTATATTTTAGTGTGGAGAATAAGAAGATAATTGGAAAGTTTAAAGATGAAGCAGCTGGCATGCCAATCAGAGAATTTATTGGTCTTCGGAGTAAAATGTATTCTTATGTGAAAGACAGTGGTAAAAATGAAAAGACTGCTAAGGGTGTCAGAAAATATGTCATCAAAAAGAATATCACACATCACAATTATAAAGATTGCTTATTGAATGGGAAACAAATGTTACACAGTATGCGAACAATTAGGAGTGACCATCATCAAATTGGGAGCTACCAATTAAATAAAATTAGTTTGAGCTGCTTTGATGATAAAAGATATATCCATGAGGATAGAATACATAGTTATACTTACGGTCATTATCAAATAGGGGCTTCCCCGAGGAAATAAGTCATTAGAATATTCTGGAAGGTTATTCTCTTAACCAATCAGAAGCTACGCATTTCAGCTACACAATTGTGGAATGTTTCAGTGAAATTTTTCATTTTTGCGTATTCGCTGTGCGTAAACTATTTACGTCATTAGAATGTTCTAGAAGGCTATACTCTCAGCCAATCAAATGATTACACAAAATTTTCTACAGACTGTAGAAAATTCTGTGAAACTATAATCATTTGTGAAGTTGAGCGAGGGTAATATTGTATAAAAATAAAAAATCTAAATATAATATAGTAATGTGTGATAAAGAAGTTCACGAGTTATTGATCCAGGAAAGTCATATTAATTGTAACTTTTGTAATAAACAGATCCAGGACCCTGGCAAGCCCAAGCGATATTTTTGTTGTGAAAATATGAAACTGATAAAGGATAAACTTCTTGGGTGTAAAAATTGTGGCCAAGTACATGATTATTTAATAGCAGAGGAGTATGTAGATTTTTATGAGAATAGACACAGGATAAAAAGAAAGTCTGTATACCACAGAAAATATCATATTTTGAATGTCATCAATGATATTGCACACGATAATAATATACAAGTTGGTTATTATAATAGGGAGAAGATTTTGAGAATATTTCGGTTGATTGGCCAAGTTATACCGCAAGTCAATAATTTTCGTAGAAGACGGCTTATTAGTGTGAATTTTATTATAAAACAACTTTTTGATATTTTAGGAGTAGAATATAAGATTATTCCTCTCACTCGATCAAAAAATACACTACGATATTATGAAAATTAGTGGGAGAGAGTTTATGCTCTAATCAAGACCGATGTCGATCGGCTGATTTCTCAGAATTTAGACCGGAACTAGGGAAAGCTCCTAACCGGAAATAGATTTACTCATTGAGCGAGAGGCCCTGGGGACCAGGTTGTTGTCTCAAACTGTCCGCCATGTTGTTTTACAGTTTCTGTTGGACAGAAGAGGAATTTTTTAGCGTACTGCTTTTCAAATTTTATCACCAGTGGAGCAAAATCCACAATTGTTTCATCCAATACTGTCATCTCCTTCAAGAAGTCGTCTTTGTTAAAGGTAGCCCCACGTAGCGAAGTCCTCAGACTAACTAATGTCTTATCGTAAGAAGTGTAAGCAAACCGAGCCATCTTAATTTTTCTTTTATAGTTTTTTCCCTCAGAGAATGTTTTTAGAACTAAACCAGCTCCTGATATGCTTCCTAGAATGGCTGGGCTGGCTGTCAAACCGCCAACAACTGTTCCAACTACTATGAGGCCAGTTGATGCTATATTCAATAGGATATTTAGCTTCTTAAAGTGTTTATAGGCTTTTTGATAAACCCAGAACTTGAAATGATAATACTTATATAGTTCTTTGATTTCCTGTATCTCCTCGTTTGTTTTGCTTTTATCGATATGATTAAAGCGAAATATGTTTTCTTTTTGACTCATTATATTATTGGTTTACATAATATAAGAACCGCTCAATTTTTCCTGTACTAATATTGTATGAAATTCGTGAGAATCGAAGTCGTAAAATTTTGGAGAATACATTACTTTATGGATCACTGCGGCTTCTGAATATATTCTAAATGTGTAGTTACTTTGAGATGCTGCAGTTGAACGTAATGTTAATGTTCCACTGTAATTTGAGACTGATGCCTTTACTGTTAAGTCGCCCCCTGTCCCTTTTTTAGTTAGCCAAAATACAACACGTTTACCATTGAAACTGTCTAGTAATGTCATAGAAGTTTCATTAGTTGACCTAGACAAACCATTAGTTTGCAGTTTTAATTTCTTTGTTGTTTTATTATAAATTAAGTGTGGTTTTTCATCAGCTCCACCTCTCATGAACGTTTTGATGTACATGTTTCTGTTTAGCCACAGCTGCATAACAACACAAAGAGTAAAACTCTTTTTACCGAATAATCCTAAACTTATTGGTTTATTTTGTATCCTCAATGCACCTGGCCAAACATTGGCAATAGTTATATTTGTGAAATATATGTTAGGATGTAAACCTATAAATACGACACCTGATGGTCTTGTTTGTAGTTTTTATATACCATCATCGCTTAAATCATAAAATTCCTCAAATATTCCCCTGTACACATTATTTTTTGTATGAGGGCTCAATTTAGCTTCTAAATCTTTGACCATCCTCACAGTCGCCGCCGAATTATTTTTCGTTTTATCCGGAGCTATGTTTAATATTTTCTTTCTGTTCATATCCAGATCAACATTGTAAACAACTTCAGTCGGCTTAATATCAAATGCCGTATGGTAATCGTACGTCTTTTGGTGATCAATCGATGACACTTTTCCGAAAACACCATAAGCAATCGTCCAGTTATTTGTCCAATTTTTTGGGTAGGTGTTGAGATCAATGCCCTTCTGGGGTATATTAACGTAAAGATGCAAACTGTACAGATTTGATGTAGTTTTTTGAAAGTTTACGATTATTTTGATATAGTACATATACTTAGTGTTTCCACTACTATTTGTGTACAGGTGAGAAAACTTTTGTACCGTAAAACCAGCAACTGATACCCCCTGTGATGTGGTTTTATCAATTGTAGCAACTGATTTATGCCATAATTGGTAATCTGAATTGAGGATTTCAATACAGAGAGTATAATCTTTATCCTTTTCAAGTTGATAACAACTGATTCCCATTTTATGAGTATCCTCCTTGCTGATCTTTTATAACGGTTGTATATAGAACTTTGTGGTTGTATTGATGGTAGTTACCATCTTGGGGCATTAAATAATCAACTTTAGTATTGTCAAAACTATCGATGTTATTCCGTTCGAGATCAGTCCATGCTAATTTATCAGTCATCAAATATTTGAATTCATTATTGTAATGACTGGGTTTAACATGAGATTTTTCCAAATACTGCTTATTAACCCCATCAGTAGCATCTGTTGGGTCTTTCATATTTGTGGCAGTCATACCAAATAGGTTAAAATATTTATTGCTTGTTTGGGATTCAGACGGCGGAGATTGTCTCGATTTATTAGTTAATACTTGAAAGGCGTTTGTTGTAGCATAATCTTTATCATTCATTAATATCCAAAACAATAGTAGATTTTTCATAAAAGAAAATGGTGTTGCATAGTCATCACATGTTGTCCATTGTTTATAAGTTTTATAAAATGTATTGTCTGTTCTATCTTCCCATTTGGCATTTTTCCAATCAATTTTTTTCTTGTTGCAGATTGGGTTGATTTGTATCATAATCTGTTTGTTTTGATTTCAATCCAGTTATATAATTGTCACCTAATGCTAAATCACCAGTCATTGTATCTCCACCCTTTAATACATACCGTCCATCACCGAAAACACGGGATAGAGCATCCTTATCGGATGTGGGATTAGCAAGATGAGTGATTTTATTATTGGACATGTTTAGTGGTCCAGCCATTACTCCACTGGACTTATCCAGGAATTTATTTTCTGACCATATTTTTGTAGCTGGTTGATTATCACCATTTGGTTGTGCTACATTACAAATCGTATTATTATTCATATACAAATTGCCAGTCATTAATCCACCAGAAAGTGATAGTTTAGTATCAAGTTGACTTTTTATTACGACATCACTGGAAGCAGTTCCTTTAGCCACACTTGTCAGTTTTTTGTATGCCATATCATAATTCCCATCTGATGTGAGATTAAAACCAGTGCCTGATGCACCAGTAGCACCTTTGGGTCCTTGGTTACCCTGATCACCTTTTGGACCTTGGTTACCCTGAGCACCAGCAGGGCCAGACGGGCCAGGCGGGCCAGGAGGTCCTTGAGGGCCAGTAATTCCGCGTTTTCCTTTTGAATATGATTGATTATAATTAGGTTGCTGATTAAAAATTCCCATTTTATAATAATATATTAGATACTTTCATCTCTTACACAAAATCCATTTGCTTTTAACAGCTTGGCTTCTTCATTAGTAATTGGATCATCCATCCCAATAACTCTGCCAATAATCCGAGCTTGTTCTAAAGATTCATGTTTGTGATTAAGAAGTTCATATAAACAACCCTCTGATAGATTTTCAAATAATTCAGCAATCATTCTACCATATTTGACATCTTCAATTTCAAGATATACTTCCATATAAATAGATTATATTAATTTGGTAAGCTGTTCTCTTTGCTCGTAGGTTATTTGATTTGGTTGGATAATTTGTCCAAGAATTGAACCAAGAGCCCGTTTCATATCTAGCATATCTTTCAATATTACAGGATGGAGGTCATACAACAATTCAGTTGCCATTAGAGCATATTGGAGACTTTTAAATTTCAAATGTACCTTCATATATTATTGGTTATTTTATTATCTGAAAGGATAATACATTATATATTTCCATAAAAGTTTCTTTTGACAGTCTTCATTGGTTTATCCACATACAGGAATGAATAGGGCTGTTTTGTTGCTTTAATATACTGATCCTTTGTTACATTCAACTCTCTAGAGATCATATTTCTCTCATTACTGCTCGGGAAATCATAAATAACATAATGACTGCAGTTCAATCTGATATCTTTTGGTGTTTTATAAAATGATTGTGAAAGGTAAANATTTGATTTGGTTGGATAATTTGTCCAAGAATTGAACCAAGAGCCCGTTTCATATCTAGCATATCTTTCAATATTACAGGATGGAGGTCATACAACAATTCAGTTGCCATTAGAGCATATTGGAGACTTTTAAATTTCAAATGTACCTTCATATATTATTGGTTATTTTATTATCTGAAAGGATAATACATTATATATTTCCATAAAAGTTTCTTTTGACAGTCTTCATTGGTTTATCCACATACAGGAATGAATAGGGCTGTTTTGTTGCTTTAATATACTGATCCTTTGTTACATTCAACTCTCTAGAGATCATATTTCTCTCATTACTGCTCGGGAAATCATAAATAACATAATGACTGCAGTTCAATCTGATATCTTTTGGTGTTTTATAAAATGATTGTGAAAGGTAAATAACACTGCAATTCTTATGACGGCCTTGAATGAAATAATCGATAAGCGGCTTTTGGTTTTTATCACAAATGAAGTCATCAAATATTACAATTTTCTGGGCATCGCTCTCCAGACTATTGACAGGTTTAATGTCGTCATTATTGCAATGTATTATATCATATCCAACCTGGCTACTAATGTCATTCATTGTTTCTATCATGTGTCTATATTTTTCCTGTTCCAGATTTTTGCCATATAAATGGATCTGGTCAAAGTAGACTAATGGTTTCATAAGGATGTGATAAAGCAAGTTTGTTTTACCCGATCCTGAATTGCCACAAATTAGCATCCTAAAATTGGATTTGGGCATGTACTTGTATAGCTGTTTGAAGTTTGTATTTTCGTCTTCATTGAAATCATAATTTGGAATATCCATATAATATTATGTTAGATAATTCAAGATAAGTTCAGATAAGTTGAGATAAGTTTTATATAACACAAAAGTATAATGGATATAGAAAGATTTAAGAGACTCAGTATTCCTAAAATTAAAGCAGGAAAAATGACTGAAGTTGTTAGGGATGTTATAAAAGAAGTTGAAACTAGAGATCAAGATTTATATGAAAAGGTGGCTAAAGACCTGAAACCTCTAACAGAAAAGTTTGATAAGGAGATAGAGGAGATCAGTAAATTGAGAGAAGATGTTGGACAAAAGGACTAATGAACTAGCGATGGTGGTGAAAGGCATTCGTGCGTCAAGGGACTCATTCGAGCCCTGATTGGATGAAGTGTGATAGAAATTTGCATGGACCGAGATTAAAAACTCTAGTGTTAAAAAATATAAGTGAGAACAGTTTAAAACTTGGAAGGACTTGGACAGAGAGACAATTTTCGATTAACAGTTTTTGAATTCGTGTAGTAGTTTTTTTGTGAATTTGAATTCGGTCAAATTGTAATTCGTAGCTAAGAGTTTGAGTAAAATTTTTGAATACAGTTCATTCTCGTGAACAATTTCTGGTAGCAAAGCGAGGTTTATTGCGGTCATGTCAGTGAACGGCGAAGTAGCGGATGACGGCGGTGAGGAGGCAACTAGCGGCGAAATCGAGGAGCGAATAGAGGACTTTAAACAGGACAAAGCTGGACAGAAATCATCCTTTACTCGGATAAAGAACAAATTGCTTCGCATGCTGGACGAACAAGATTATCCAAGCCCAAGAGAGATAAAAGAAATGTGTCACCAACTCAGCGATGCTCAGGAACGTGCTATGGAAACTATGCATCGTCTTTCAATGGAATACGCGCTCCTTAAGGACAGAGAAAAAAGAAAAAAAGTCGTCGAGGAGATGGACAAATTGGAACTAGAATTTTCGGAGGCGAACGAGAAAGCACAAGAGTATTTAGATGCCCGTAAAGAGGAGTTATCGAGTCTTGCAACCGAAGCGTCAGAAAACACCCGTCGCTGTCGAATTACAGAAAGCGTGGCAAAGAAAAGCGCGGAACAAACTCAAAGGGACGAAACTAAGCATAAAGAGAAGTTTGATGATTACAAAGAGTCATTGCGGGAATTAAATCGTCATTACAAAGAGACATTCGACTCCGAAGGTCGAAAATTTACGAAAGATCCGTACGAAGAGCCGACGCTTGGTCGGGATATGTGGAATCAACTAAAGAGAGTTTCCATTCCCGTATTTAATGGCGATAGAAGAGCCTATGAAGGATGGAAAGCAGCGTTTTTGGCGTGCGTTCATCAAGCACCGGCCACACCCGAATACAAATTACTTCAACTTCGGCAGCATTTATCAGGAGAAGCCCTTAAGATCGTGGAACCTTTAGGACATTCAGCCGCGGCTTACGAAGCAGCAATAGCTCTACTGGAACGCAAATTCGGCGGAGAAAGGCGAAAATTAGCATTGCATCTCGAGGAATTGGAAAATATCAAATCCCTTCGCCCGGGAGACGCGGGAGACATCGAACGATTTGCAGATTTGTTGGATGTAACTGTCGTTAACCTTAAAGAGGCTAATCGTCACTACGAACTCGGAAAAGGAACATTGTACATTAGCTTATGCAAGAAATTAAACGAGGGGATGCTTGCCTAACACCATCGTTGGATATTCGAGAATCACCGCTGGGAATCAGTCGAGACCCTCAGGGAATTCGTGTAACAGGAAGCGGAATTCCAAACAGTAGCATCGGAGACCATTCGAGGAGTAACTTCGTCGAACAGGAACGTTGACTCAAGACGTAATCGGAGCGATGAGAAAGCGTCTCTAGAGAAACTGGAAGAATCAATTAGATACGTTGATGGCAGATATCAAGTTGCAATTCCCTGAAAGGATGACGAGCCTTCATTACCAAACAATTACGAAATGGCACTGCGTCGACTATTAAACACTGAAAAGCGGTTGCTGAAGAATCCAGAAATAGGCGAGGCCTATACCAACAACATTAACCAGTACCTTGAGAAGGGTTACATCCGCAGATTGGACCCCACAGAGAAGAGCCCTGTAAAGAAGTAGTACTTGCCTTACTTCCCGGTTGTAAGGCCAGACCGAACAACAACAAAGACTCGCATCGTATTCGATGCTTCCGCCAAGTTTGAAGGAGTCTCCTTAAATGACGCCATTTACCAAGGACCAAAGTTGCAGAGAGAATTAACAGATGTTCTACTTCGTTTCCGAAAACACCCCGTGGCATTAATGTGTGATATTGCTGAGATGTATTTGAGAATTGAGGTCGCCCCCAAAGATCGACCATATCAGCGTTTCTTGTGGAGAACATTGAATCAAGAGAGAGCACCTGACGAGTACGAGTTCAATCGAGTTGTTTTCGGAGTTAACTCTTCACCGTTTCAAGCCCAATTTGTTGCTCAGACGCATGCAGAAAAACACAAAGACGAGTTCTCAATGGCCGCAGAGACAGTGCTGAAGTCAACTTACATGGACGATAGTATGGATTCAGTGGTAGACGAGAGTCAAGGTATCAAGCTCTACGAAGAATCAAATCAGCTCTGGTCCAAGGCAGGGATGCAAGCTCCATGAGAAGACACACAGGGCTTGCACTGTAAGTATCCCGGAGAGCTCCATACAATTCCTTATAATTTTGTTATAAGGAATTGTATGGAGCTTTCGAGGAGACTTTTCTTAATTAGCTTAGGCGCGGCGGATTTTGTCACGTATGATCAGCGCGAGGTGTTTCTCCCGACACCCTTCTGTCAGGAAAATGTCATCATATGAAAGCAAAACAGACACGATCGCGTCGGCAGGCCGAAGCCGGCAAAAATAAAAGGCTTTTCTTCTTCCATTTCAGAGGTCAGTTTTGTTTCGATCTGGTCAAAAATCAGGTTTTTAGGTTGTAGGTAATAAAATATTGTCTTATTCTGTTCTCAAGGACCTTTAGAAAACGAGACAAACGAGATAATTGACTAGAGAGAGAAGCGTGAAAACGCTTTTTTGGAAGAAGATATTTTTTAATTCCCGCAGCGACTTTGCGAAATCGCGAAGCGCAATATATTCAGTTTCTTCCAAAGCCGTCATGATTAAGCAGTGTAATGCCATCAGTAAAAATGAATTTAGTTTGTATCGCAAAAGCCGCGAAAATAGAGCTGAAAAAAAAATGGATCGGAGGAATTAATAAAATCACTAAGAAACCGTCTCGCGGGAGCTTTATCAAACAAACCGTTGATACGGTTTATTTAACCTAACCTGGAAAAGGAGACGTCTGCACGCAGAATACATTTCATCCTACATGTAGTTGTGACTTCCAGAACGGAACGCGGGAGCCTCATTGCCGTTATATCTTCTACATGGGAAGAAACCACAGCAGAATCGCCCTGCTCGCGTGCTAACTTTCCGACCAGTGAATTGTGTTTCAAAATTTAAAGCAGCCGAAACTTATTTCAATCAGCGCGTAGTCAGTTAGTTAAGCAATAATAATGCACAGCGCTGTAAATAACACGGTTCTAGAATATCTGACCGCTTCGCGTTTTGTTCGTCGCTACATGCCATTTAATCGCTTATAACCTAACAGAAAATGTAAATGTACCTGAAGGAAATACCGTGTATTACCTTACCTTAACGCTGTGATGAGTGTAAATTTGTCTTTTGCTATGGTTTTAGACAATACGACTTCTCCTGACTATCAATTGTGCGTCAAAACAAGCGCGATAATGAAATAGTCGAACTGCCATGGTGTAGCACTCTATGACTCTAGTTTTAACTGGAAAACTTGTTACCATCTGATGTACACCTGCATAGTCTACGTTTGTTAGCTCTGCCTAAAGAATCACTGGGTTACACTGCACCCATGGGTGTGCCACCTAAAGTGCAGCCTATGTTTGTTAGCTCCACCTAAAGAATCACTGGGTTACACTGCACCCATGGGTGTGCCACCTAAAGTGCAGCCTATGTTTGTTAGCTCTACCTAACGAATCACTGGGTTACACTGCACCCATGGGTGTGCCACCTAAAGTGCAGCCTATGTTTGTTAGCTCTACCTAAAGAATCACTGGGTTACACTGCACCCATGGGTGTGCCACCTAAAGTGCAGCCTATGTTTGTTAGCTCTACCTAAAGAATCACTGGGTTACACTGCACCCATGGGTGTGCCACCTAAAGTGCAGCCTATGTTTGTTAGCTCTGCCTAAAGAATCACTGGGTTACACTGCACCCATGGGTGTGCCACCTAAAGTGCAGCCTATGTTTGTAAGCTCTACCTAAAGAATCACTGGGTTACACTGCACCCATGGGTGTGCCACCTAAAGTGCAGCCTATGATTGTTACCTCTACCTAAAGAATCACTGGCTTACACTGTACTCACGGACGTTTGCCTCGCGCTCTCTTCAAAGACAAAAAAGCTATAGTCTGTTTGGCCAAAACTCAAGCTTTGTTTCCCCTAAAAATTTAACACCATATTAGGGCCCCGAAAGACGTTAAAAGTTCCTCCATAATGGAAGAGTGTTTTGCTAGAGTTAACAAACGTTTGGCTTACATGAGTTTTAATATAAAGGTGCAAAAACTTATCAGCATAATTATAGCACACCAACATTGTCATCAAACTCCTGGCATGTAGCCTGAATAAGCCAAGCAAATGTGAATAAAGCATTTAACGAGAAATATTCGTCAAATGGTATCGTTAAGTAAATTATACTTCACTTTGCGAAAGAAATTTTATCGCTTGTATCCGTATTACGTATCGAAAAAGCGAGGAGTCATCGCATGACATTACAGACATTAGGTAACAGAGGCAATACTCACGAGTTTCACGAATTCCAATTCCACGATTTTTCGCCGAGTAACAAATTTAAAACTTTAATTCTTACCTCAGGGGCACCCAACGGCAATTTTCGGGAAAATATCTGTTCGAAAGACGATTTGAGAACTAGAATTTTCGGAACATTTGTTGTAACATTTCTTGCTAGCCTGCCTCTCCTAGGAT